AAGAAGCAAGTAGTGATCAGTTGGCAACTTTTCGCAGAAATGTCTGGATTTGACGAGCGCCCGGTTTATTTCAGCGATGCTTTTGGTTCAGAGGAACAAGCAGATGAGCGAGAAGTCAACAGAATCAGTGCCAAGAAGCGATTTAGGGAGTTTATCCGTGAATTCCACGAAGGAACTTTTAGCTACGCGTATCGGTGAGCAAAATGGCGCACTATAGCATGCTCTACGAAAGTTAATCTATGAGCACAAAATCATGCTTTGCCGTAGAATAACTGAGTTTTAAAGCCCACAAGTTTAAAAAAATATGTAGTACAGCTTTCTCAGAGTCGTTTATCTTCATAATTTGACAAGAATCAGGGTTTGTATTCAATCTCGCTGTTGGTTTTTTAGCGAGGCTGCCATGTGCTTTGCTAACAAAATATTTTGCCCAAGTTCGATCGATCGTCTGAAATCAAATCTGCGTCGCTAATATATGTTTATCCTTTCTTTCTCGTTCAGTGATCAGCTTAAGAGACACTATAATTTAGGACAGTTTTACCTTGAAGTAGATTTGCAAGATTTGACGAGCTTTGATGAGCAACTTGCTGATAAACTCACCAAAAGTCCCGCAGAATTCCTGCCTTTAGTGAGTATACGTAGCTAACTTCCTGTACATTTAAGCAAAATTCGGATCTCTTCTTTGACTTATGTGTATTTAGCTCGTCCATTTCATTTTTACCCCCATGAGATCAAATTTCCTCGAACTTATGATTTGAAAGGGAAAGGCTCATCAAGAACGTTCCAACTAAATTTACCTGGAGTTGAACTTTTGAATCAGGGTGAAGTCTGTTTTGTTATCAGCTTATGCATCATGTTATTCCACTTGTAAATGTCTCCCCAAGATTCCCTCCCCACTAAGAGAAAATCTTCCCACAACATTCTACAGTCCTATGGCTTACAACTGGTGGTTAATAGCATGATACTTTTGGAGAATTTAATTTGTACATAATGCCATTATCTTTTTGTTAACCCTTAATACACCCAAGATCTGGTCAGTAATTCTCCCATCTGACTGCCATTCATTTTCCTTTGGTTTTTGGAGAAGCTTACATGAAATAAGTCTTTTTTTAAAACAATCATATCCCAGACTTTGTTAAAAAATCTACTTTGTGATATGTAACATTCTATAGTTTGAAGATGCAGCCAAAGAAATGGCAGATGAGGTGACTAAGCCACGGCCTTTAGGAGAAGAGGAAGTACAGGATATTCAGATCACTCTCAAGTCTGAGGCAAACCCCATGAGTGTCAGGGAGCTGCGAGTATGTTTTTGAATTTCACTGGCTGCGATTCATTCCCATTCTTTCGCGTACAGGCTTATTGATTCCTTTGAAGCTTTTGAGGCAATAATAATCACACCAGGCTAGTTGAAGCCTTCAGTCCTAAAGTAGTGATAACTTCTTTATTTATTCCTTATTCCTAATTTGTAATTTGCTTTATTTTCAGTCTGAGCAAATGGCTAAATTGGTAAAGATTCCAGGCATTATCATCAGTGCCTCTGCCATTCGTGCCAAGGCAACTAACATTACAATCCAGTGCCGTTCTTGTCGCAACACAATCTCCAACATTCCTCTAAAGCCAGGTCTTGAGGGATATGCAATGCCTCGCAAATGCCCAAGGTATAATCTGTCTCTCTGATCTTATGCCTAGGGAAAAATTTTTTTATTGGTAAAATGGGGCAGGGGGATCTTTACCTGTATTTTTAGGAGTTTAAAATTTTGTGATTTATGGAATTTAGAATTAAAGAGGGTAGGAGTTTGAGAGTATGCCATTCTTTTTAATTTTTAAATTTTTTTTTCTTTCCCCTATCACAAAATATTGAGGGGGTATCGGCAGATAGGGATGACAAATGAAACTTAAGAATGAAACTTCAGATCCCCTCCCTTGGGTAAATTCTGGTTCATACTGGCTTATTAATAGACTTTATACTTATTTTATGGGAAATCACCTCCCCACAGTTGTTTAAAAAGAATATGATAAACAGCTGACACAACAATCAGTGGATAATCAGTGCAGTCTACAATTTTCCTTCAAAACTAAGTGGATAAAATTGTGAAAAGCAGTGTAACTTTCAGTGTTGAAAATGAGCTAGTGGTGGCAGGAAGCTTCAAGGATAATATAGCCACAAAAGATTTCTTTTGTCCCTTCAAACAGAACCTGCTCTGGGAAGTTTTACAGCTTTTTCTCTTAGTACTTTGTTATATCATGACAATGATTAATTACATCTGTGTTTTACAGTGACCAAGCAGGTCGTCCACCATGTCCTTTGGATCCATTTTTTATCATGCCTGATAAATGCAAATGTGTTGACTTCCAAGTACTGAAGCTGCAAGAATCTCCAGATGCTGTCCCTAATGGTGAAATGCCACGGCACATGCAGTTGTACTGTGACCGGTATGCACTTATCATTATAATTGTTGATACAAACAAATAAACTTAAAGGGCTACTTCTTTCAAGCTCATCAACTACTGAAGATCAGTATGGCTTGTGAAGCCAGGGAAAAGGACTTTTAGCAAGATTGCTTCACTCAGAAATGTGTCTTGGGTAGATGTAAGGATCTTCCAAGAGTCTTGTATCCTACCTTTCTCCCATTCTCTCGCAAGATCTCATCAGCAATTCTCCTTACTGTCTCCTATACAATTCTTATCAAGTAAGTGTGGATAATTTGGTGTTAGATCAACTAATAATCCCCTTTTTTATATGTTTCTTTATTCTCGTTACTTGTCTTCTTGATGTTGTAAGGAGAATTTCTGTCTTGGTCACTCATGGGAGTTAAAGGCTTAGGCTCATCACAGCTCCTGCAAGTCTGTAATTTCTAGTTAACCCTTTAACTCCCAGAAGTGATTAAATCTAACCTCTCCCTGCAATATGCTTACATTTTCCAATAAACAGGTAATAAGAATACTCAAACATACTGAATAGAAGTTGCTGTCTTGATCTAACACCAAATTCTTGTAACTAATTTAAGAGGAAATATGTAGTAGCTGGAGGGGAGAATTGACTATCAGATGTGGGAGTTAAAGGGTTAAAGTTGGGCTTCATGTTATTTTTTTTTTTTTTTATTTCTTGAAGGTATTTGACAGAGAAGGTTGTTCCTGGTAACAGAGTCACGGTGATGGGTATTTATTCAATCAAAAAAGTTGCTCAAAAGGCTGACAAGGTAAGATGCTCAAAGTTGCAAATCAGATCAGAAGAATTGTACTTAATTGCTACACTGCCTGTAAAAGAGCCTCGGGGTATTGTCATAACAAGCAGCTGAAATAAGAAGAAACATTACTGGGAAATATTTTTTACATGTTTCCTTTAGTCAGAGTATTTAATTTGTACTTTCACAATTAGTTAGGAACATAATTTATTATGTTTAAACTTGCTTTATTCAACCAGGCAGAAATAATTTCAGGTCATAAATCAAATTTTTCCTTACATGTTGAAAAACAGTTGAAGTAGCAATTTCAGTCTCTGAAACACCTAGCAGTGGAAGGATTATGCAGCCAACACCTAACAATCCTCACATTTCTTTTGTCAGGATCGTGATGGGGTGGGTGTTGGTATCAGGAAGCCATACCTTCGTGTCGTTGGCATTCAGGTGGATACAGAAGGTCCTGGTCGCAGCTCAGGGGCACCCCTGAATCCCTTGGAAGAAGAGGAGTTCAACAGATTTGCCAGCAGAACTGATGCATATGAAACAATAGCAAAAAGTATTGCGCCATTTATTTATGGAAGTGAAGATGTCAAGAAGTCCATTGCATGTCTGCTGTTTGGAGGGTCTCGCAAAAGGTGTGAGATAAGTGGTTATTATGGTTCATTTGAATGCATACATTTGTAACAATATTTCACAGGGATGATCATATCTGTCAAATTATGTCACCATGTTGTTTGACTTGAGTCAGTTGCCTTTTCGATTTTTGACAACAACGCACATTTTCCTAAGGAGTGGGGTCTTTACTTTCCAGATTGGATTTTTTGAAGATTATGAGCCCAAGAGGAGTTTTAAAGCTTGAGGATTTGGCCCTCTGAAGAGAGGACTTTTACATAATGCCTGTGTTTTCCTAATTTCTCTTTGCTAACTGCATCCTAATATCATCCACAGGCTCCCTGATGGACTCACACGACGTGGAGACATCAATGTCTTGCTGCTTGGTGACCCAGGTACTGCTAAGAGTCAACTGTTGAAGTTTGTAGAGAAGGTTTCTCCCATCGGTGTGTACACATCAGGTAAAGGAAGCAGTGCCGCAGGATTGACAGCATCTGTTATGAGGGATCCTGTGTCACGTAACTTCATTATGGAGGGAGGAGCCATGGTACTTGCAGATGGAGGTGTAGTTTGCATTGACGAGTTTGACAAGGTAAGTAGCGATGAGACAAATTTGCTATGACAGACAGGTATCATCCAGTTTAGAAACCCCCATCAACCCTTCAACTCCCATGAGTGACCAAGACAGAATTTCTCCTTACAATATCAAT